CGCGTCGTCAAAGCGCAAGTTGAAAGCAACTACAGCATTTCAATGTCCACAAAGCATTGTCTACCACCTTGGATAGTACGACACGCAGCATGGACTGTAAATCGCTACGTCATCCACTCCGATGGCTACACAAGCTTCAAACGCCGCTGGGGAAGAAACTACGAGCGAGCAATTTGCGAATTTGGCGAAACACTACTTTACCTTCCACCATAGCACAAGAAACTTCCGAAAGCCGATCTACGTATGCAGAAATGCATATGGCTCGGAAAGGTTTCGGAGACTGGAGAAAACTACGTCGCGACAGAACAAGGCGTACTAAAAGCAAGGACAGTCACGACTACAGCCTGACTTCAAATATGACCTTGCACTACTAAACAAGGTCTCAGGTACACCTTGGGCACCAAAAGGTAGTATCTACAATCCGTCATTTGCGACACTACTGGATACGCAAATCCAGCAGAAACAGCCTACACAAGATGCAGGACAACAGACCAACATCGCAGACGACATCGTTGCCGAACCAGCAACGAAACAACAACGCACTACGTCACCTCCACGCCTTCCGTCAACATCGACGTCAACTTCACGACCACTACCAGATAGCCCCATGGCTACCTCACCAACCGGACGACAACATCCACCACTACCAGCACCACCTCGACAAACATTACGACGTTTAACCCCGGAAGAAGTAATGCAACCAACTAAAGGACAGAAGACCTCAAAGAACACTACAATCAGATCAACGGAGCAAGCAACCAAAGAACCACCACCACTACGACAGAAAATTAACGCAGTGACACTTCCCAACGGAAAATCCATCACCCCCTACACAAACGACGACACCTCAGAAGACCAACCCATAGTCTTCGACAACGAAGGTTACGACGAAACACAACTACTGGAAGGAATGAAACACGAGTCAAACCAAATGAAGCTACATGACGTCTACGACGAAGTAGATGCGTCTACCGTCGACGACAACGTCATCAGAGAAGCGATACCTACAAGATGGGTACACAGAAAGAAAGGACCAGGAGTACGAAGCCGAATCGTCGCAAAAGGCTACACAGAGAAGATCGAGGACGAAGACTCCGTCTACGCCTCTACACCAATGTTCACGACACTCCGGACACTTCTCGCACTACAAATGTCACGACCAAACTGGATAGCGCGACTAGGCGACGTCTCTACAGCATTTCTACACGCACCCATCGCAAAAGACCACGACGGTAAACAACGTGACGTCTACCTTTGGCCACCTAAAGAACTTTGTCCACAACAGGACAAAATCTGGCGACTAAAGAAAGCCATGTATGGACTACGCAGTTCACCAAAAGCATGGCAGGACTACCTGGCTGAAGTGTTACAAAAGCTCAGCTTTGTAAGACTAAAGTCAGAACCTAACGTCTACACCAATGCGACTCGCGACTGCTACATCATGGTCTACGTGGATGACCTCTTGGTACTTGGTGACAAGACTACTGTCGACTCCACCTTCGAGGCCATCCAGAAGCAGGTACTACTCAAGCGCATTGGCTACCTCGAACCTGGCAAATCACAACAATTTCTTGGAAGAAACATCGACCACTTTGGCAACTACTGCAATCTTGGACTAAAGGACTCCTACATCGACAACATGATCGAGGAGTCTGGAATGAACAACTGCAACTCAGTGAACACTCCAGGAATTGCACACTACAAACCAACAATAGAAGATGAAGCACTACTTGACCACGAACAACACAAAAGGTACAGAAGGATTGTTGGCAAACTTCAATGGTTAGCATACACACGACCAGACATTGCATACTCCACAAAAGAACTAGCACGAGACCTCACAGCACCTACAGAACTTTCACAAAAGAGAGTCAAACATCTACTACGCTACTTGCACGGCACCAAGCACTACAAATTCACCATAGAACCAACAACAACACTCAGAGCAAACACCAACAACATCCTGGATCTCGACGTTCATGTCGATGCCGACTGGGCAGGATGCCCTACTACCAGGAAGTCCACTTCAGGTTTCAACATCCACTTCCTTGGAACTACAGTTGCATTCGGCAGCAGAACACAGGCTACAATAGCACTAAGCTCAGCAGAATCAGAACTTTACGCAATATGCACAGGAGTTAATGAGGGACTACACCTCAGGAACTTCCTACTTGAAACCAACATTTGCAGCAAGCTCAACCTACGCATTCACACAGACTCCACAGCAGGCAAAAGCATAGCTACACGACAAGGCGCCAGCAAACGAGCAAAACACATCGACCTCAAATTTCTCTACACACAAGACCTCATCAAGCACGACATCATCAGAATTCTCAAAATCAACACACTCACAACAGCTCAGACTTGTTCACAAAATACATCAGCAAAGAAACACTACAGAGGCTCATACAGAGCATTGGCATACGCGTTTAGCACTACGAACAACAACTGTTTCACATCAACCACAACAGTTTGTATATGGCCATATGTAACTACTTGCATGTAAGTAACAGTAACAGTAACTACAAGTCACAGTAATTGTAACCACCAGTAATTTGCACTTACACGTTTGGCGGCTTTTGGCGGCTTGGGACAACATTACATGTTGTTTTGTTTTACTACATTCCCGCATGTGTTTTTGTGAGCTACCATTTGGCTCACTACTTTGCCCCGTCTCACCTCGTTTGCTTGATCGCACTACCAGCAATGTCTGGACCCATGGATGCGATTACGACCGCGCCTGAGACTACTGTGCCAGCACAGCAGATTGGTACTACTACACCTGACCGAGTTTCGACACCACCAAACCAACCATCCACTACAGATTCCAGCAGCATGGTCTCTGTGGCACCTCCGCCACCTGAGGCCACAATGCCCTCAACTACCACTGCAACCACCAACTACCGACCACTGCACCATTCTACAGGCCCGATGACATCCTGAACCACCTTACTACTGTCGAGTACGACAGTATTCACACTCCAACTATGGATCAGGGACAAAACTACGCTGAGGTCTATGTGGGGCTGACCTTGGAGGAGTATCAACTACTCAGCCAACAGCAGACCACGCCAATGCCAGACCTCGACTACCAACGGCCAATCCACAACCTGCCATCAGACCTACGAATGCCCCTCTACGATTCACTACCACTCAGCCTACGCTTTTCAGAAGCGTTCAACTTCTTTTACTACAACTTGACTTCCCTACACCTCACCACATCACACACCAACTCCATGATCATCGTTCGACTTCATCTCCCTCAAGAAATCTTGTTACACTACATCAGCAGCGGCCACCTCACCAACTTTTCGCGTGACTACTTGAGTCACATGGTGTCAGTCATTGGCCAACATCACCTACCCACTCGGCAACTACCCCAACGACTTCACAAGATCAACTACGACATGAACCAGATCACCACCACCTTCAACCTGTCCAACAACTACATCTGGAACTACCACATGCCTCTTCACCTTCCTGAACTACTCAGCTACTACGACCAACCACAACAACTACAGGATCACCACTACAAAGCAATCAACACCATCATGCACAAGAGTTCCACGTACTACGGCTTCACACTACTCACTGCCACAAATCTTCCCATGCAACACAAACTACTACTACACAAACTCCTCACTACATTTCAACAACCACTCCCACCTCCAGAGATCAACTACACTTGTCTTCGAGGAGGCCCTGACTTCAATACTACCTTCACTACCAACCGCTACGCCAGCCTTGACCACTGCACTGGTCAGCAACAAGGCTACAGAGTCCAGCATTGGACTAAGCACACCTAACTACAGGTGATGCTACATCAGTGAAGCAGCACCACAGCTTCACTACAACTTTGGACCTCCAGGTCCAAACTACATCAGGATGTATCTCATGAACTCCACTCAGTACCACTACTGAGGCCTGAACAGGAGAGCTACTGAGAGCAGCCTGTACATACTACAGCTTTTTTTTTTATCTTTGAGAGTCAGCGGACTACAGCCAGCAGAGTTGTAGTTATACTACTTTCGATCCTTTTGCAGTCAAAACTACTTTGAGCCCTTTGCACTTTTTCACCCTTTCTGGATATGGTTGAAAAGACACTACAGGGTCTTTTAACCAAGGGGCCGTGTCAAATATCATGCTGTACTACTTGTCCCTGCACATGCATGATGTACACTACCCGACCGCAGGCCTTGAGTCTACAAGGAAAAGAGTGCATGCTGGGAAACCACATTTGTGTTTGTGACAGCAAGAACAACATTTGCACTTGTAGTAAAGTATCGACTTATTGTAACGAGAGAGAGAGAGAGGGAGAGAGAGAAGGATAGAGAGAGAGAAAGAGAGAGAGAGACAGAGAGAGAGAGAGAGAGACGGAGAGAGAGACACACAGAGACGGACACACAGACACGCAGACAAGCAGGCATGCAGACACACAGACTAATAAGGTGGTCGCAACATGGACAAAGTGTCTTTCATACGGAATTTTCTCAGATTGTGCTTCACATCAACAAACATGACAGAGGAAATACGGCGCTGCCGGTGCGCCAATCGTTGGGAAACAGGCACTTGGGGGTGGAAAGTCACCAGGAAGCAAGCGAGCGAGCGAGCAAGCAAGAAAAACAACGAGCAAGGGAGCAAGCAAGCAGGCAATCAGGCAGGCAGGCAATCAGGCAGGCAGGCAATCAGGCAGGCAGGCAGGCAGGCAGGCAGGCAAGCGGGCAAGCAAAAAAGCAAAAACACAATTAAGCAGGCAAGCAAGCAGGAAGGCAGGCAGGCGGGCGGGCGGGCGGGCAGGCAAGCAAGCAAGCACGCAAGCAAACAACGAAACAACAACACAAACAAGACCGCTGGTTTGACGTAGTTTCTTGTGGTAGGTGTGGTCGGTCATTCATGTGGACCCTGGATGGGTTGCTTCTACTTTGGCTTGGATGATTTGTTGCTTGGTTTGGCGCATGGTTGGGCTGGCGAGTAGGGTTCGAAGCCTCCGGTCTTCCGAGGCTACTCGGCATTCGTGGACGCTTTGGAGAGGGCGGAAGAGGAGCGGGCACGTGGCTGTGACTCAAAAGGCTGGGGGATTGGTTCAGGAGTGACCTTCAGAGCCGGAGGTATGAGCGCTTGCAACCAGAGGGGCATGCCCCACATCAAGCGATCGACATCTACCAGTCAAGGAGAGTTGCCACACATACGACCTGGAGGGACCATGCGCCCGCAAGTAGAGTATGTGTCACGTCAAAACGGCTGATCCTCTCCAGAGGGTTTTGAGCTGCTCTTTCAACATAGCTTTGAAAGCTTCTTCGGCAACCCTCAGCCATTTTTTACTCAGCCGTTTGCAGGCACGAAAGCTCCGGATGGATATAGGAGTTTTCAAAGTAGACCCGGCAACTGGTTGGTTTCTTTTGGCCTCCCTTTCAACACCATCTGAAAGAGGGTTGCACATGGATGGCCATAGCATTGATGGTGCCGGAAAATGATTAGAACCAAACTCAAAGCAGCGCATGCCTTTGTTCCAAAGGTACACCCACGCTTGCCTCAGGTTTGAACATGTAGGGACTGCGACAGGCGGTCGAACCCCTCTCCTTGCTTTTGGCCCACGTGCCAGTTGCCCGGCTCGATGCTGGTTTCCCTCAAGAAACCGGGGGACGGATCATGTCTTCCCCGGTTTCCACGTGCTCAGTAGCTCTTGGACCCTAGACCCTGGGACTGAGAGGGACGGTCAGCCCCCTGACCGTCCCAGTCGTGTTGACCGTTTTGACAATTTTGACCTTGACCTCCTTGATCAGCTTAAGCTTGACTGCCTCGGCTTTGACCGTATTGACGATCATCATGACCACATTGCTACGGGACCATGTTGCCACCAAAGCCCTGGGGTAGTTACATCGAGGGCGAATCTGAGTGATGGCGTGCTTCGAATGTCCCATGCAACAATGGATCTCCAGATATTCCCAACGTCACCATGGCCCGCCTTGATTGCCCATTTGGGTGGCTCTGTTTTTCGGGGACACACAATGGCGCTTTTTTCCTGGAACAAAGTCCCCTTGAACACCCCACCTTGAACTTCCCCTTTAAAAGCAACACCAACAACGGGGGGCGGGGGGGGTAGCGTCCAAGAAAAATGGGACCCGCTGAAGCCGCCGCGCTTTCGGGCCCTCGGACGCTTGGACGTCCGATGGAGGAGTGCCGCCAGTGCGGGGTGGCGGCCGCCATGGCGGCAGGCACCACCCTGGGCCAGGCGGCCGTGAATTCAGGCGTCCGGCTGCGCTGTGCCCTTTGGGCGCCTCAAAGAATCGCGCCCCTCCCCCCCCCCCCCCCCGGTTTTTGTGAGTTTCTTTGACAGGAGGTCAAAAAGGACACCAACTGGTTGGAGGGTGTTTTTTATTATTATCAATTTTGAGAAAGGTGTCCTTTCCAAAAAGGACACTTCAAGGTGTCCTCCGCTTTTTGGCTTTTGAGGTTGTTTTAGAGGGAAACCAAAGGGAGCCTCCACCCATTTTGGGGTCCAAATCCCTATTTTGACACACATACACACGCTCACCCATGTATGCTGTTTATACCTTTGATGTGTATACATATATATATATATATATGTATATATATGGTGCAGCGTTGCCAGCCCCCCCCCCCCCCCCAATGGTCATGGGTCAGACAAGTACCCCCCCCCCAGTGGTTGTGGACCTGTGGTTGGGTTGGGGTGGTTTAGGGTTGGTTTAGGGTATATTTAGGGTGTATTTAGGGTTAGTTTAGGGCTGGTTTAGGGTTGGTTTATGTTGATTTAGGGTTGGTTTAGGGTTGGTTTAGGTTTAGAGGTGTACGGTTTAGGGGTTGGTTTAGGGTGTATTTAGGGTTGGTTTATGTTGATTTAGGTTTGGTTTAGCGTTGGTTTAAGTTTAGAGGTGTACGGTTTAGGGTTTGGTTTAGGGTGTATTTAGGGTTGGTTTAGGGTTAGTTTAGGGTTGGTTTAGGTTTAGGGTTTATTGTTTAGGGATTGGTTTAGGGTGTATTTGGGGTTAGTTTAGGGTTGGTTTAGGGTTAATTTAGGGTTTGTTTATGTTGGTTTAGGGTTGGTTTAGGTTTAGGGCTTATTGTTTAGGGATTGGTTTAGGGTGTATTTGGGGTTAGTTTAGGGTTGGTTTAGGGTTAATTTAGGGTTTGTTTATGTTGATTTAGGGTTGGTTTAGGTTTAGAGGTCTACGGTTTAGGGTTTGGTTTAGGGTGTATTTAGGGTTGGTTTAGGGATAGTTTAGGGTTGTTTTATGGTTAGTTGATGGTTAGTTGCGGGTTGGCTTGTCCTGGGGGTGGGGGTGCCGGGGTGTCGGGGTGCGAGTTCAGGGGGTCGGGGTGGGGGTGGGACGCGTAGGTGCCAGGATTTGGGGGCTCGGGGTCTCGGGCCGGCGGGGGGGGGGGGGTCCGTGGTAGGGTAATTTGCGCCCAATGTGGCGCGCGTCCTTCCGAAAGGAATGAAAGGAAAGGACAGAACTGGACGGATACAGAAAAGCAATGGAAGGAACTGGAAAGGACATTTATAATGATGAAGAAAATGAGGATGATGAGAATGGACCGTGATGATGAAAATGATGATGATGAGAATGATGATGATAATGATGAAACCGATTGCCAATAGTCAGAGCTTAGGCCATGCATCCGAGGCCATTTGGAAAGCATATCTTTTCCTAATTCTCCTAATCATGCTAAATATCCTAATTATCCTATTCAATTAGGATAATTAGGATAATTAGGACAATCACGTGCCCGAATTGGCAAATTCTCTAATTAATTAGGATAATTAGGTTAATTGGGTAAGGCGGAGTTCTCGATTTTCCCAATTATCCTAATTAGTTAGCAGAATTAGGATACATTGGATAATTCGGATAACTAGGATAATGAGGAACATAATGGTTTCCAACGGACCTCGGTCGAATTCCTACCTGGTTGGTGAGAATGATGATGAACATGATGATGAGAATGAGGATGAAAATAATGATGCGAATCATGATGATCAATGATGGGGAGAATGATGATGAAAATGATGATGATGAAAAATGATGATGACAATGTTGATAAGCATGAGATCATGAAACTGATGATGAACATAATGATGAAAACGATGATGAATAATGATAAACATGATGATGGACATCATGATGATGATGATGATGATGATGATGATGATGATGATGATGATGATGATGATGATGATGAGGATGAGGATGAGGATAATGATGATGATAGTAACGATAATGATGAACATGATGACCATGATGATGAGATTGATGATGAGCATGATGATGATGATGATGATGATGATGATGATGATGATGATGATGATGATGATGATGATGATGATGATGAATGAAGATGAGGGTGCAAATGGTACCTGGTTGAGCCCCCAGTAGTCAGAGCTTAGGCCATGCATCTCCGAGGTCTTTTGGAAAACATATTTTTCCTAATTATCCTAATTATCCTAAATATCCTAATTATCCTAATTGATTAGGATAATGAGGATAATTTTGATATGTAAATGATGGAATTGCCAATTATTCTACTTAGTTAGGATGCTTAGGATACTTAGGTAAAGAGGAATGCTCGAATTTACTAATTATCACAATTATCCTAACTAATTAGCATAATTAGGATAATTAGGATCATTAGGATAATTAGGAAACAATGTTTTCCAAAAGACCTCACTCAACTCCCTACCTGGTTGATGAGAAAGATGATGAACATGATGATGATGACAATGATGATGATGGTCATGATGATGATGATGATGATGATGATGATGATGATGATGATGATGATGATGACGATGATTATCATGAGAATTATGTTGAACATGATGATGAACATGATGAACATGATGACGATGATGACGATGATGATGATGATGATGATGATGCTGATGATGATGATTAACAAAAACAAACACACAATGAACATGATGCTGACTCGGTCGACTTCCTACCCGGTTGAGCCTGCCAGTAGTGAGAGCTTAGGCCGTGCATCTCCGGTCTTTTGGAAAACATATTTTTCCTAATTATCCTAATTATCCCAAATATCCTAGTTATCCTAATTAATTAGGTTTATTAGTAATTAGGATAACTACGTACCCGAATTGGCAAATTGTCCTAATAAATTAGGATAAGAGGATAATTAGGTAAAGCGGAGTGCTCGAATATCCTAACTATCTTAATTATCCTAATTATCCTAATTAATTAGGATAATTTGCCAATTCCAGCACCTAAATAGCTAATTCCGCTCATTCCGGCAAATAATTACCGGAATTAGCCGATTTATTGGTTAATTTTGGGAAATTCCGCTAATTATGTGAAAGGAAGGTTCCTGAAAAACATTTTTGGGCTAATTCTGCTAATTTGGCTAATTCCGGTAATTCCGGCAAATAATTAGCAGAATTAGCAGATTTTTTGGCTAATTTTGGCTAATTCCGCTAATTTTAGCGAACGAGCATTTGTTCTTGTGATGTTTGGCGAAACATGTCCACGACATATTGGGCATGAACCCTCTTATGGGGGGGGGTCCTGGGGGACCCATACCATATGGGGGGGGCGGGGGTAGCAACACGGAACACGGGACCATATATATATATATACACACATACATACATACATACATACATACATACATACACACAGACACGCAGATGTACATAGACCCCCTTTGAGATAGATTGGCAAGGGAAAGACACCTGCCTTTTCAACCTGCTCGCTTTGACGTTTTACATGGGGGGGGGAGGAGGCCTCAAGCAAAGCGGTTCCAACGGCTTGTCTCCTTAGGGGGACTCCAGTGACGTGTCTTGCTCTTTCTGCACATGAGCACATGATCATCTATATTTGTGTTTTGCCAATTGCCTCTTGACACGTTTGTTTTACTCTTTCTTTTTTAGATGTCATTGCCTTCTTCTTCCTTGACACGTGTTTGTTCCGTGTTTTCCGTTGGAACAGCGCGCTCCGCGCCTGGGGAGAAGGGGCCCCTTCTCGGCGCGCCAGGCCTCGGGGCGCGGGAGGCGGCGGACTGCGCCGCCGGGGCGGCGCTGCGGGCCGCCACGGAGTTCGGCATGGCGCCGGCGGAGCGGCCTTTTGGGGCGTCGGGGGGGCGTCGGGGGGAGGTGGGGGGTGGGGGGGTAGACCAGGGCTCCTTAAAAGATACAAGTTGCTTTTTCCACACCAAAATAAAGTTGGAAACCGCCATGTACAAGTTGCAATGTTCAGGTGTATAATGTAAGGATCCCTGTAGAAGGGTTGAGACATGGCTATGGGTCAAAACCCAAATCGTGTTTCCAGTGAACATCCCAATCCCCACTAAAATGGTCTAAAACGGGGGCTGCACCAGTGGGTGTATGTGGGTGCTAAATATAGGAGACACTTTGACAATTGTGCAACGGCGGTGACAAACAGTTGCCCTTGGAAACTTTGGAGAGCAGTTGAACGAAACTCACAAACGGCGCAAGTTGAGTTATGTGAAAGCAGGAACAAATAAGACAACTTGAAGACTCACTCCTGAGGATGGGGTAAGCTTGGAATGCCTAGGTCTTAAGCGACCAAACAATCCTGCAACAAGCTTCCAAGCAAGCTGTGACCCACCCCAAACATGTGGCCGTGGGTCAACACCAATGGTAGCGACACTTTTTGGTGTCTCCAGGCACTTTTTACTCTTCTGGGACAAATCTATGAAGGCGAAACGGCGACTTTCCCCGACCAAACGGCAACAATCCCCAACCAAGCGGCGACCCTTCCAGAGTTCGCCACGCCTTGGGGGAAGTCCAGTTGGGTTGTCTCAAAATGGAGGGAACCACACAACCCCAAAAATGGTTCCCTAAAGCCTAAAGCCAAAGAGCAAATTTGGAAGCAGAAAAACCCAGGACACCCCCAGGTGGACCTTTGTCCCATCCGCGAGCAAAATCGAGGACGCAGCTGTGCTCGGGGGCCGGGCAGCAGCCAAGCTGGCGGCGGAGCAGAACTTGGACCGCGCGCAGGTGGGGGACGATCCACGCGGCCAGGGTTGCTGGTAGCTGGGTTCTCATCGAATGCGAGTGGTTGACAATGTATTGAATACAGGTTAATTCTTGGCTGATTCAGAACCCCTGATTCTTGAGGTATCTTGAGGTGTATTTTTTCCAGGTTCGACATTGAACGGACAAACGTTTTGTTGCCGCTGACAATCACGTTGACCGCTGACGCTGCAGAATCCGCTTGTGACTCAGACGATGTTTGAAGATGCATCTTCAGAATCCAAGCGACGGCATGGATGGATGCTAGACCAACGTTGTGGTTATTTGGTAGATTCCCTATTGAATATTTGGGAGCAGCCCTCACTCCAATCCTATTTGTGCGCTCTTCGACAGCTTAGTAGGCACAAATCGCGTTCAACGGCCTACTGTTTAGATTTGGTTTTGTATTGGCTTCGACAATTTGTGTGATTGGTTTCTCCACTGCTTTTTTTTTCAACATTAAGTACCCGGACTCAATACCCTTTCTTCTTTTCGGGGAAGGGAATGAGTGCCGAACAACTTACTTGTTTGTATTGTAGGTGCTTCAAGTATTCTGGAACCGACCCACCCAAACCCCCCGAAAGCCCACCGAAAGAAAGCCCGAGAGCCCGAGAACCCGCGGAGAACCCCCGGACCCGCCGAAACCGCGGCCCTTTTCGCCGGAGGCCGCGGACGCGGCGGCGGAGGCGGCGGGCATGCACAGCTTGCGCGCGGCGGTGGAGGCGAAGCTGACGCTGGAGCAGTGCGCCGATGAGGCCGTTTGGCGTTTTTGCGTTTGTTTTGTTTTTTTGGCGGGTGAAACGAGCGTTGGGATTTATAAACGCCCAATGCGTGTGACGGTGTTTATACAATAGAAAGAAAAAGAAGAAGGAAGGTAGTGAAAGATGAGCCAAGGGCATCTGAACAACTCATTCGGGGTTCGAGCGGCGACTGGAGGGCGCGCTCGAACAAGGCAGAAGAGGCCAAAAGGACCAAAAAGAAACCACTCTTTGCTACGGATGAGGAGCCCATTTTCAACGAGATTGGATACTGGGCGGCTTTGGTACATGCTCGAATGACCACCCGTTAGAGAAATGCCCTGGTTGGGGACGGACAGGTAGATTTCGCAAGATTTAACCTGGACAAGGTAGATTCCAGCGCTTCGTTTTGGTCATGGGATGACATAACCTTTAAACAAAGTGGGTAGTTGGAGGGAGGGGCGGAGGGGCGGAGGGCTGGGTTTCGCTCGCTCTTGCGCGAACTCGACCGCGAATGGTTGGCGATGTTCTTGTTGGTTGGCGGCTTGTTGCAGGGGGGCCAGTGCAGTGGGGTGGGTGGCGGGGAGTGCAGGAAAAGGGAAGGCCTGTTCTGAGTGGTCAACAGCTACCCTGACCTATTAGGTGATTCCAAAACTAGGGGACCTCTTTGGGTTCAACTGGAGAGCCTGCCACTTTTGGGAGTCCCCCCCCGCCCCCCGGTCTGATCTTGCCTAGTTTCAGGCGCGATCCGCAGAAACCTGTTTGCTAATTGAACACCGAGAGGGCAGCGGTTCGCTTGTTCAATTCGGCTTGAATCGTCGTTTTGTCACGTGGAGTATCGTTGGCCATGGGATTTGGGCAATTACATTGACTGCGCCAGGCTTGTTTTCCGCAGGCCGACCGCTCTGGCACGTCCCAAGAACTCTTTTGCGCCAACAAATGCACACGAGGCGGACTGACAGGAGTGACATGTGTCACTGTCGACCATGCCACTTGTGCTTTCCGCATGCGGAATTGGCAAGCCCTACCTGGGATCCCACTGAGTCCTCGTGGGAGATCCGAACACCGCTGGCCGGGTGTGGGGCGCGTCAGCCATGGTGTTCTCCGTGACTCTTTGGCGGGACACATGCGCCTCTCAGGCCAACGCGCATGCCGCTGGCATGTGTATGACAGCAAGACGACGGGCTAACGTGCTTGCTGGGGGAATTGCATCCGTCTGGACAAGACGGCATGCTGATGCAAGAAGGGGAGGCTCAGCTTTTGCAGGAAGTTTCGATGTATTTTGGCCCAGCATCGTCTCATAGAAAGGCCTGGCTGCTGATTGCGTGGCGGGTTGGCTGGTTTGTGGTCATGTGATCAGGTGGTGAGGTGCTCCAGTGGTCAGATGGGCAGGTGGTCAGGTGGTCAGTCTACGGGTGTCCAGAATTCAGTGAACCAGGCTCGCGGTGTTGCATGGTGGTCTTAGCTCGAGTCCAAGAGACCACACGTTGTCCAACTGACTGCTGGAATCAACCCCAACCAAACCGAAGTCCAACCCACACTTTCAACCCTGAGACAGCCTGGTGATCCATAGCAAACCTGACCCTAAAGGCCGAAACCAGCCGAAAACAAAGGCCCGCGAGCTGAGCAGGGCATGATTCACCGAATGCTGGGAGTGTTGCCCGCCCTGATGATAGGTTCTACACAGGGAACCACCTTCCCATCGCAGGAGAGTTCTTGCGGGGGGGCTTTCGAGGAGTTGCTGGACACACCGTGCCACCAGTCCTGGCCAATTGGCAATGAAATGCGGCACGTTGCACTGGAGGAGTTGCCCGGTGTTGACGCAGTGTTGGCCTTGCAAGGCAGCTGCAGCAGATTTTGCTGGATGATGGATAGCTGCTCGACACTTGCTTCATGCGTGCGTGTCAGCCAGTGCGGCTAGGTCCTTGCTTGATTTCGCTTGCTGCTTGCTTGATGGCTTGTGTTCGCCTTGTCGCTGTCGCTCAGCTGTTTGCCAAGCTCCTTCGACTGACAATTGTCACTCAGCACACAAGCTTGTTTGCCTCATCCACAGCGACCTTGATTTTCACAAGACAATCTTCGAAGTATGACAGGGAGGTACGTGCCCACATTTGCAGTGATGCCGGTTCTCTATCTACGAAAAAGCGGTAGACGATGCTAGGGCATGCATGTCATGCATGCCTGCTTGCTGTGCAGGCGTTGCCGTACATCGGTGATTGCTGTCATCGGTTCGAAGCGGTGTCTCCATATATATATATATATACACACATGCGTATGAGACGCACACACACACACACACACACACATACACCATTTGTACACGCTTCCTCACAGGCGCTACCGGGGAGATTCCACTGAGCCCCCTCAGTGAGATATCTGAACCCCGCTAGCTGGGTGGAGGGGGGCATCAGCCGTGGTGTTCTCCGTGACTCTTTGGGCGGGTCCCCTCGGCTTGCGGATTCTGTGAAGCAAACTGCCGAGCGCCTTGATGCGCCTTTGGCTTGTCACGGAAAGGCCTTGCAGAGGACGCCATTGCCTCTGCCAATATTGCACTCGCTCTTCTTGATGGAACCCCTGGTTCTGAATTCATCAGAGGCAAATTCCCAAGCTTCCCCTAATTCCCCCTCTTCTCCAAAGCACCCGGAACCAAGCAACTGGTTTTAGAGGTACCTCACATCTGGTTGAAATGGTTCTTAGAGGCGTGGCACTCGTACCCCGGGCACCGGGCACCGGGCCCCGTAGCCCGGGCAGGCGGCCATCGCCGCCTCCGCGGCGGCGGAGGAGGCGGGGAGCACTGCCCAGCACGTGGCGGAGGCCTCGGCCCGCGCGGCGGGCATCGCCGCAGGCCGGGGCTGCGGAGCTTGGGGCAGGGGGGGTGGCGGGGTTGGGGTTGGGTTGGGGGGGGTGGGGGGGTTGGGGTTGGGGTTGGGTTGGAGCTTCTTTTTTTTGGGGGGGGGGGCTCGTTTTAGCTTCACAGGGAACCCTTGGGTTTAAGTTTCTTTCGTGCTCGGGACGCGTCAGATAAGGTAGGTTTGTTGGTGGGTTGGAGGTGTGGTTGGAGGTATCAGGAGGTGTTGGGGCGGTGGTGTTGGATGGTTTGGGGTTGTTTTGGTGCGGATGCTTGAGGCGTTTGGGGCTGGGAGTGTGGTGAGGGGGTGGGGATCCTGGGAATTTTGGGCTGGGCTGCCGGCCCTCTGAAAGCGATTGCCTGCGTCTTGTATCCTTCCAAAGTGCCAGGAAAGAAGCAGCATGAACTGTTTGCCATTTCTTGTCGTTCATCTTCCTTATGCTACAGATGCTGCCGGGACGCGTTGGGTGGAATTTAAAATTATGCTTAAGTGACTGCCAAGGGTACAAGTAGTGGGATGGAACCCCCCGAAAGCTCGAGAAACAGGCCACCGGAACTGCTGACTGTCTGGATGTGTCGTTCCGCTTTTGTCAAGCTCAAATGTCCAGTTTTCCTCATCCTTTGCCAATTCTGAGTAGTTCAGTCTTTTTGCAAGCTCGGTTGGCTGTTCTCCTCAGGATCAGTACGCCATCCAAGGGATCAAACATGTATCCCTAGGTGCCCTAGTCTATAACCATTATATACCTTTGTTTCGGATCCAAGCTCATTCCACTTCCCACGTAAACCAAGACATCTGCCAGTGCTCTTTTTTTGTTTTTGGTCGACGCTTTGCCCAGGAAAGCAGTCGCCGTATCTTCGGTGTGCGCCGAAAAGCCCAGGCGAGATCGCAGCGGACTCCGGTAACACGGCCATGAAGTCCGCCGAGATTGCCGCCAAGGCAAGTGCGACCCAGGGTGGACATCATGGGAAATGTACGTCCCCCAGGCGCTGAGGGTTGTCTGCATAGGTGTCCTTTTTGGTTGATTGGGTTGAAAAATAGAGGGCCCGGGTTTACCTGGTGGTTCAATCAACTACCAGGGCCATCTATTTTCCCAAGAAGGACACCTATGATTGTTTGGCTGTTTGTTGGTTGTTCAAGTTGCAATGATTCCAAGACCTGAAAATACGGGAGGTGAGCTCGGCACAAAATAGGCAGTCAAAGAGACGAGGGCATGTGTGCCCAAGTTTTCGTAGAGTTTGCAAATGTCTTGGTTGTCATGGCCCCATGCAGGTGAACCAACATGAGTAGCAAGGTGCAACAGACATCCCCAGATCAAGCCTGAGCTTCCAGGACGTAGAGTAAACTGCTTCAAGTCGCAGAAGCAACCCACTACCCACTACCCCAGCCCCGTGCCCGAAATGGATGGGGTGTATACCAAGTAGCTAGCCACACTGTGAAGAAAGTCGCATGCCCCGTCTTCCGTTTTGATCTCCCTTAGCCAACTCATGTTTTACCAGCCTGGTCATGGTTTGTGTACAATTTGCATATTCGGTCAGGTCTCTCACAGGAGCCTCGCCAAGGCGTTGCAAGGTGCCACCAAACTGACTGATTTCATTCGTCACGCTGACCATTGGCTAGAAGAAATAGATCAGGCCATGCCTGAAATGCCCTGCTACCTGTTCCTTTTGGTGGCTCCCTACTTTTCAGAACTCCGTCTCTGCACCCGAAAGTCCCGGTCATGTCTCGGTGCGGCACTCCCACCCCCCCCCCCCCCGTGGCTTCTCACCCGTTCAGCAGTTCGAGGGGCCGACGCTCAACGATTGGCCATTTTTCGGCGACATGGCCTTTTCCCACCAGCGAAGGACGCCGCTTCTTTTGGGTAATGTGTCAGGCGTCTTAAATCGGAAAACTCCGTGGTTCTGTCAGTATTGTGTCAGGTGTCATGTGTCAGGTTTTGTTTCAGGGGCTGACTCAGCGGAACACCCCGGCGTCGAAATCCGTTCGAAGCGACGGGAGGCGGCCACCAAGTCGGCGGCGGCGGCCGGGCTGCCGCCCTACCAGGCGGTGGACGCCACCGCCACCGCGGCCGCAAGGTTTCGGCGCCAGATGGAGGGGTTGAGTGGGGCGGGGGGGTTGAGTGGCTTTGGTGGCCATCCCCTTAGCTTTTTAGACTTGTAGTGTTCAGTGGGGGTTTCCATTTGACCCACTAAAAGTTAAACTTTTAGCAGGGGATCTGAGGGCAGCCCAGTGGGGTGATGTTGGCAGGAAGTTCTGCAGCCCAGTCAGCGCCACAACCTAGCCCAGGTAATTGGAAACAAGGCGACAGCCCCCTTGCAGCACATTGATGCGGATCCCAAAACCTAACATGGAACCTCACTGGGGGCTCCTGAAAACCCTTTGCTGGATTCCATGGGTGTTACCATGGGTTTTGGGTAGACTCTTTTCATACCAGCTTTCCAATAGGTAACCGAGTTGCTTGGAAGGGTAGCAGCGGATTCCCTAAAATTAGGGCCCCCCCAGAGGTGTGTGGGTTTTCTGTGTTCACCACCTTTCATCCCTCGCGCCATGAATTTGAATGGGGAACACCCTCCCCAAAATGGTTGGTCGCAACCACATGGCGTCTCACCCGTCCCGATCTCAGTGCGTTAGGACCACAGTTCCCCACTTCCACTTCGAGTCCATCCGTCCGGCCAAAGTCCGGAAACCCTCGAACAAACAAAGGCAAACGGGCCCAGCAGGCTGGACACCCAGCTTTGCCTTCAAAAGGTTGCAGCCCCTGAAACCTTTGAACAACAAACACATCCTTTGGGATCCGTGAATTTCCATTTCCGGGGCCAGGTCGGCGGCGCGGGCGGCCATCAACGCCGGGCACCCCTACCTCATCGTGGCGGAGGTGACGCGCCAGCTGAATGCGCAGCTGGTGGAGAACCTCAGGGACCGGAGGGGCGGTCTGAAAGTCTGAGATATACGCTTAAGAACGACATACTCATGCGATAGATATGTCCCCCTTGCCGGGGGGGGGGCCATGGGGGTCCAGTTTGACCTCCCGATCTTAGCGTGCGTTAAAGCACATATCCGTTTGAGGGCAGATTGGGATTGTGGCCGGAAGACGTCATGCTCGAACCATGCCAAAGCTTAAAGTGCTGGTTGAGGTGAGTGCAACTGTTGCCAGCGCATGGAAAGGTATGCAGTGTTTGAGGGAGCGTCGAGTTGAGAATAAGACTTGAGCAAGCCACCAGGCCAGGGGTGTGCTTTTTCGAGGGTACCCTTTCTTGGGTCTTGTTTCAAAGATTTTGAAAGGGAAGCCATTTGGACACCACCCATTTTGAGGTGCACATGTGAGATCTGCAATTTCTCAAGTTCCCCTTTTGCGCAACATGGCATTCAGGCACAAAGCATTGCCTTCACTGCGTGTCCTACTGTGACCCTCCATGTTCATTGCGACCCAAAGCTTATGTTCTTTGAGGTGGCACGCTGAAAGATCGTCGCAACCCGAAGGAAATGTTCAGGCCCAATGTGCTCTTTCCAGGGTCTAGGCAATGTTGCTCCGAGCTAAAAGAGGACCAAGCCTGTGGCAGAAAAATCGTCTTCCCTTTGATTTCTCTAGGCGAATTTTCTATCCTTGTGCCCATGGGTCTCTGGAACAACCCCGCAACGTTCGGAACGAGCGCTGGGATCGGATGGCACTCTGCCCCCGCGGAAAGAACAACCCTCATACTCATGAGTGCTCCAGCTAAATGTCCGACCCCACGCGATACCTGTTGCCCCCCTAATCATGGGTTCCCCACCAATGGTGAGCCACAAGGGTTCCGTTGTCCAGTTGGGTTGCCACTGGGCAACTGTGAGTTGACGGCATTCGACAGGAGGCACATCAAGGCAAGGACATGCTCACGGTGCCGGAGCTGAAGGAGAGAAGGGCTGAAAAGGCAAGGACTCTTATGGCAGAAGACGGACATGACCTCAAGGCCCTAATCTGGAATGTGAGGACCGTGGCCTCTCCCGCCTTGTCCCTTGGACAAGGTGAATGTACGCGTGCAAACCTCCTTTCGTCCCCTGCGCCACACAGCCAAAGAACAAGGGTTGGCCATGGTTGGCCTTTTGGCCGCCTTTTTTTGGGAGGGTGTATGGAGGGCTCCCTGATTTGACCTTAAACATGGGGTCAAGTTTAACTTCCCTGTCCAAGGCTTGCATAGAAGGCCAAGTTGCTCGGACACTTTGCACAAGTCACAGGGAAGATCCAGGGTCAACTCCTTGGCGTGCGAGGACCTCTTCAGCCAGGCCAACATTGATATACATGAGGACCCTGGGCTGCTCTGGGGCAGTCGGGGCCTTGTGGCACTGACACTTAAAGTGTTGCTCAGTTTCGATGAAGCAAATTTTCGGGAGAAGTCAGGAATCAAAGGCGACCCTCAGCGCGGGGTTGCGTTGGGAGGACATGGGGGGCACTCGCAGATGCAGAAGAAACGATCAAAGAAGAGCTACGGTCAAGAGACGCATACTTTTCATTTGTGAGGTGCTTTGTGCTCGCGTGGCTGGACCCCTGTCAAAGAATATCAAACGATTGTATGAATGGTTCCGAAGCGGAGACAGCATTCCTTCGCAGGTAAAGCGTCAGTCGATTACCTGCTTTGAAGGACATGGTTACACTTTGACCACCCCCTAGTGATGCTCGGAGTTCCTTTTTGGAGACTCTCGCCATTTTATCGGTCCTACCAGAATGTTGCATTTTGAAACCCAGGGGATGAGGGGATGGTTTCCTGGCTTGAAAGACTTTGGGATGGGCCCAAGGTTCCCTCCATATCTTGGCAAATCAATCCGAGCTCACCTCTGAGTATGACGAGCCCATCCATTAAGAAGGGTCCCTCACTTCGGCATTACTTTTTTCCAGTTTGTTGTTCTTAGTCTAGGTCCCCCAGTAGTGCCCTTCTCTCTTCTTTTTGGGGGGAGGGTTCCCCTACTAAAATGGACGACTTTTTTTTAAACGGGTACCCTTGTTCTAACCTCTCTACTGGAGGACCTAGTAGTAATTTCCCCAGAGAAGATCTAGGAGCTCCGCTCGGGGGCACTGGCACGTGCGAGGACACCTTGCGGCAGGTCTACGAAGAGATGGGGGCGGACCCCAATGGCCAGCTCAGCTTCGAGTCCTTCTTCCAGGCCGGGTTCAGCGCGGTTGCAACTCCTACCTACTCCAAATACCCGCATTTTCAGGATGTATCTTTCTAGGGGTCGATTCCCCATTCTTTTCAACCATCATTCTTTCCAAAAACCAGCTGTTTCCCCTGGGGTTCTGATGGTTTTCTGAAAAGAAGGATCCCTGGAAAGAATGGGGAAGTGTCCCCTAGAATCTTGAACAACCATAGTTTTGTTTAAAGGTAAGTACTACTGTTTCGTCAAGCATTGACATACCTCAAGAAAAACTGCTTGGCATTTGGAGGCTTCCTTCCCCCTCCCCCCCTCCCCAGGCGCTGGAGAAGGCCCATTCCACCTTCATGGAGGCCGGTGGGTCAAGGTCGTGCCCGTCGAGTTGTTTTGGAGTCAGGTGGGACGACTCGTTGCGAGGGGAGCAAGGGGAGCCTAGCAATGGCTGAGAATGTGCGGGATCTCGGGTTTTTGGAGTTGTGTGGGTTTTGTCAGACGTCTCATTTGACATGGGTGTCTGAGGCGGCTTGGGTGGAAACAACTGGATTTCATTGACTTCGCTTTGGTTCCACTCACTCACCCACTTCCCGAGTTTCTCATACATTTGGGGGAAGTCGGGGGTAGTGGGAGCAGGATGGCAGATTTTGGTCGGCCACTCAGCCATAGGCGGGCCTGGCCGCGGCGAACCTGGCGGGCCGCGTCATGGGCCAGGCGGCGGCCGATGCGGGGGACGACCCCGAACAGGCCGGACCAAACCAACGGGGGCGAGTTGTCACGAGCTTGGGGCGAACCGAACTCATCCAGGCAGGTCCCTAATTTTTGAGGATTCCTGGCTTCCAGTCTGCGAGTTATGATCGGTTGCCCAAGTCGGCAGCTGGAATGGGGGGGAGATTTGGCCAAAGTGTAATTTCCTTGTTACCTGTAAATTTCCATGGTTGAGCAAAGCTCGTCATGCTCTCTCTCTCCGTCCCTCCCTCCCTCCCTCCCTCCCTCTCCCTCTCTCTTTCTCTTTCTCTTTCTCTTTCTCTGTCTCTTTCTCTGTCTCTTTCTCTTTCTCTTTCTCTTTCTCTTTTTCTTTCTCTTTCTGTGTTTCTGTGTTTCTGTGTTTCTGTCTCTCTGTCCCTCTGTTTCTCTGTCTCTCGGTTTTCTCCGTCTCTTTGCCCTGCCTCTCTGTGCCTCTGTCTGTCTTATGTTCTTATTCTCTGTCTCTATGTCTCTGTCTCTGCGTCTCTCTCTTCCCAATTGAGATATGAACAGTTGTTCTGGTGCAGAACAAATAATGAATGCCAGCTTGTCAAACAGACCCTAGTTGGGATGATTTTTCCCATGCCGGTAAACACATGAGTGACTTGGCGTGCCTTGCCCACGCGCGGCGCGCGGCTGGTGCCCACGCGTGGCTGTTCCGGACAATTGCTGGCAGCATCTCTAGCCAAAGTGTGACATTGGATCCTGAAGTGCCCAGTGATTCAACCGGCAGCCAACGAAGGCAAATTCCTATCTCAGGGTCCATTCATGATTTCAGTTTTGTAAAGTGTTGCAATCCACCCAGAATGATGGAAAGGAAAGCCATTTGCAGCATAGAGGGCAGTGTAAGGCAACACAGCGCGTTTGTCAGCCGTCGGTTTTCCTGGTGGCTTTGTTTTGCCAAGGGGATGCGCCTTTGTCAAGAATATGGACGCCTTGTGTGTGAAGCTTTCAAATGTGCCCCGGAAAAAGAACATTCACCAGTCAGGAAGAGTCCTTTGTCGGGAAGAGTCCTTCATTTGCACGCACTGAGAAGGCAATGGCACGCTGATTGGCCTGTAGTTGATCAACAATATGACCCCAACCGAATTTCACCAACCTTCGGAACCAGTTGAGGACTAGCATCAACCTGCAAAACCGAGAGGGGACTGCCATTAACCGATGGTCTACTGTCTTCGTTCCATCCTGTGAGTAAACAAGCATGGGCCAAATATCACCCTGCGTCACTCTCTGTGAGGAAGGATGGACATGTGTCGGAGCCAGCAACGAGTCAGGTTGGTGTTTTGGCTTGATTGCGGCGAATTGAAAGGGTCCAGTCGTGAGGCGGGGGAAGTGGCCGCCAACGCAGCCACTGCAGCTGCCAAGACTGCCGGGGGGGGGGGGGATGAGGCTTGAAGCGTTGCACATTTGATAGGACCTGATAGAATGATGCAGCTCTTGGTTGGTTTTTGAGGGTCCCCTTGTCGAAACAGTGTAGAAGTCAGTAAGGGGTAGAACAACGCGCCCTGAAGGAGAAGTTTCTCCCATCTCCCACGGACAGCCTTCTTTCCTACTCCCGCATCGTAACACCCAAGCTACAAGACAGAAACGGACCCCCCCACAAAAGAGTGGCTTTCCTGCTGGTTGAAGTCGCAAAACCCCTGAGGTTGCTACAATTTGCCAAGGAAGCCCCCTGGCCAAATGGGCAAAGAGGCAGGTGATCAGCAATCAACAACGGCAGGCTCGTAGAATCGTCTTTGCTTGCTTGCTAGCTTCCTTGGCTGCGCGCGGGTGTGTGTGTGTGTGTGTACGTGCGAGCCGGCAGCAGGCAGGTGGGCAGGCGGGCAGGCGGGCAGGCGGGCACGCGCGCATGTGCGAGTGCGCGTGAGGGAATGGGGTAGGTGTGGGTGTTGTGCGTGCTTGTGTGTGTGTGTCCCTGCGTGTCTGTGTGTCTGTGTGTCTGTGTCTGTGTCTGTGTCTGTGTCTGTGTCTGTGTCTGTCTGTCTGTCTGTCTGTCTGTCTGTCTGTCTGTCTGTCTGTCTGTCTGTCTGTCTGTCTGTCTGTCTGTCTGTCTGTCTGTCTGTCTGTCTGTCTGTCTGTCTGTCTGTCTGTCTGTCTGTCTGTCTGTCTGTCTGTCTGTCTGTCTGTCTGTCTGTCTGTCTGTCTGTCTGTCTGTCTGTCTGTCTGTCTGTCTGTCTGTCTGTCTGTCTGTCTGTCTGTCTGTCTGTCTGTCTGTCTGTCTGTCTGTCTGTCTGTCTGTCTGTCTGTCTGTCTGTCTGTCTGTCTGTCTGTCTGTCTGTCTGTCTGTCTGTCTGTCTGTCTGTCTGTCTGTCTGTCTGTCTGTCTGTCTGTCTGTCTGTCTGTCTGTCTGTCTGTCTGTCTGTCTGTCTGTCTGTCTGTCTGTCTGTCTGTCTGTCTGTCTGTCTGTGTCTGGGTGTCCGGGTGTCCGTCTGTCTGTATGTCTGGGTGTCTTGCGTGTCTTCGAGTCTGCGTCTCCGCGTCTCTGTGCGTGTGTCTGTGTGTCCGTCTCGTGCTTTGTCCTCCCATGTCTTGTGGTAATATTGCCAGTTGCTTACACGCGCTGCGCTGCAGTGTGGCTGAATTCCATGGTTCACGGTCATGGTTGCCCAACAGGTTGGCCAAGGCCTTTCTTGCGGGCTGATTCCAAAAGTAAGGGACCCCAAAAAGGCTGGTACTGGTGACTTTCCTTTGGTCTCCCTTTCAAACCATCCGAAATGGAGTGCCCCATTTTGAGACTGCCTCTGGTTGCATTGAGAAACTCGATCCCTTCCAACCACTTTCGACTTTTCAGAAACCAGAAGCCCACGCGAACGGTCCCCATCCCATCCATCCGAGTGCCCCTGCCCCACCTTTCTCCAGGACCGCGGGCCTGTCGGAGCAGCAGGTGGCCGAGGTGGCGGTGGCCGCTGCGGGCCACGCGGCGCGGAGCTCGGAGCCTGGGCGTCCGGAGCCTGGCTTCCCCTGCCTCAAGCTACGCGGGGACTCGTGGTTTGGAAGTGATTTCCGGATTCTCGCTGAAATTTGCAGACCAAGAGGGATTCAGTAAGCCAGCGCGACGGCTTCCTTGGCTTGAAGGGCAAAGCGCCTGGAAAAAGGGCTGGTAAGTCGAACAAGCAGAGCACAAGCGAGAGAGTTTTGCTGCACCGATTTGACAAACTTGTTTCTTGACGGCAGCGACTAACCAAGAAGGTGCTCGGGTAGATCCGTCCGAACATTTCTCGGGAGGCCGGCAGCGCCGCACTGGCTGCGGGGGGTACCCCGGAGCACGTGGCCTATGTGGCCGGCCAGGCGGGCCGAAGGGGTGGAAAAGGATGAAGCCAGGAAAATCGGTGTGCTTCAGGTCGGCTTGGTGGCTGGGCTTGTCTTCTGAAACCCCTCCACATGTACAGTAGCTTCTGGCTCAGCCCAAACAAACATCGACGTGGCTTTGGCACAAGCCCATTGTGTTTGGTTGTAATTATAGAGTTCCTGTTTCTTGAAGAAGCCACTTATTGCTCTTTGAAGACGAAGTCTGTGGTTTATATGCTAACGTGAGGGATGTTGCCAACTGAGCTTCAAGCAGCCTGCAGGCCCACTGGCAAACACCTTCCACTGAAGGGGTGACATGAGGCGCACACGCGCACACACACACACACACGGTGATCTTCTGTCTTTTGAAGCTTCAACTATTCCAAAGCAGACACTGGAAAAGAGATCATTTGGGTGGATTCAAGAAGGCCTGTGCGCGACCCCCCAAAAAACATAAAGTAAATAAAATAACATGCTTCTTCTAACAATGTCAATTTTCACATATTATGTTTTCAAATATTCTTTATATGTTTCTAGGACTAATAATTCGGAGTAATATTCTGTTTAATACTGTTGTTTCTAGGACACATGTTTTGGAGTATTCTTTATAACATGCTTTTTCTCGAAAGCATGTTTTAGAATGTTGTTCTCCATAGTGTTGTTGTCGGGAAAAAGTATAAGATTGTGTTTGGACACGCGTTTTGACGTACTCTTTCTGGCCAATGATGGGTTTTTGACTTATGCAGATATTCGTATGGGATATCTCTATACATTATGTATATATCTCTTTGTGAAAGAGCACTAAAGACCGCGCAGAAACACTTGCAACAAAATGGAAATGACAAATGCAGACAAACTTTGATATAAACAAATGATGCAAATAACACTTTTCGCACAATCTTTGGTCTATGCGACAGGTCCGTAGATACATTCTTTGTTTTGTGTTGGATTCCGCACAGGCCTTTTGAATCCAACCAAGCGATGGTTGCCAAATAAGTGTCGTCGTTCCTGCCACGGATGGAATCAGTGCCAGTGCAAAAGAGCCATGAGCGCCCCTGACCATGAGGATACAGTCCTGAGCGCATTTCATTTACCCCAAGTTCGTGGATTTCACAGGCGCAGGTGAAGAAAGACTAGCAAGCTGATGTTTGTTGCAACGCTGAATGCCAAGTGGCTGTTTGTTTTTTGTTTGTTTGTTTGTTTGTTTGTTTGTGTCACTGTTTGTTTGTTTGTCTGTCTGTTGGTTGGTTGCTTGGTTGCTTGGTTGCTTGGTTGCTTGGTTGCTGGGTTGCTTGGTTGCTTGGTTGCTTGGTTGCTTGGTTGCTTAGTTGGTTGCTTGCTGCTTGGCTGTGTGTCTGGTTCGTTGGTTAGTGGTTGGTTGGTTGATTGGTTGGCTGGCTGGTTGGTCGGTCGCAACCTTGGGTTGCGTTTTTTTTTGGGGTTTGTTTGCTTGTTTGCTTGTTTGTTTGATTGTTTGGTTGTTTGGTTGTTTGGTGACTTGATTGATTGATTGATTGCTTGATTGATTGATTGTTTGACTTGATTTGAATTGATTTGATTTGCTTTGCTTGCTTGCTTGATTGATTGATTGAGTGAGTGAGTGAGTGAGTGATTGATTGATTGATTGATTGATTGATTGATTGATCGTTTTTTTTTCTTTTCTCCGTTTGGTTGTTTCGTTGTTTTGCTTTTTTCAATTTTTGCTCTTGCTGTTTGCCTCTCTGTCTGTCTTTGTTTCTTTCCTTCCTTGTTTCTTTTCTTTGTTGTTTCTTTCCATCCTAGTTCCTTCCTTCCTTCCTTCCCTCCTTCCTTCCTTCCTTCCTTCCTTTCTTCCTTTCTTCCTTCCTTGTTTCTTGGCTTACGGGTTGTTGGGTTTGCAAGGCTTTGTTTGTGTTTGTTTGTTTGTTTGTTTGTTTGTTTGTTTGTTTGTTTGTTTATTTGCTTGCTTGCACTGTTCTTTGTTTGTATGTATGTTAGTTTGTTGTTGGGGTTTGGATGCAGTGTTGTTATGGGGGTTGTTGATTGTCTGTGTGTTGTGTGGTGCTTTGTTCGTTTCAGTTGCTTTGGTCTTTGTCCCTACTTTGTTTGTGTGTTGTTTGTTTGTTTGTTTTGTTTTTTGTAGCTTGGTTTGTGTGATTGTGTGTGTGGTTTGTTTTTGTTTGATCTAGTGAGTTTGTTCTGTTCTGTTGTCTTGCGTTGTGTTTTGTTATAACATGTTGTGTCATGTTACGTCTGTGTTGTGTTTCATTGCCCTCGTTGTGCGGCATGGATTCTTGGTTTGGCTTGCTTTGGTGTGTGTGTGTGTGTGTGTGTGTGATTTTGTTTGGTGTGTTTGATTGTTGTTAGTTTGTATGTTTGTCTGAGCCGGAAGTTTTGACCACGAGGCCGCCATCAACGCGGCCACTACGGCCGGGTTGAACACGCAGCTGCTTCCACAGGCATGGCTGAGAATATGTACGGAGGTCTGCCTGCCGTGCGCGCTTCAAATTCTCCCCCCCAAAAAAGAAGAAGCAACAAAACAACCAAACAAACAAACAAACAAACACACAAACAAACAACCAAACAAACAAACAAACAAACAAACAAACAAGCAAGCAAGCAAGCAAGCAAGCAAGCAAGCAAGCAAGCAAACAAACAGACAAACAAACAAACAAACAATGAAATGCTTGGTTTCTTGGTATGGGTCAAAAAATAAAGCCACCCGGAATTGGGCCGCAGGTTTTAGTCCACGCTTCCATTTACCAGAGTTCCATATTTGGTACCTATTGTTGACCCACAGCCAAATTCCCCCCCCAAAAAAATAACACAAAAAACAAACAAACAAACAATGAAATGCTGGGTTTCTTGTTGGCTTCCCTTCCAAAGTGGCCCAATGGGGGCTCCCCGAAACAGACACCTGCCTTTGCCTTTGTTTGGATGGTCGGATGCTCAAGATCCTTGTGCTTTTTGCCACTCGCAGGTGATCGTGCCGGTTTTTGCACGCGCAGCAGGCGAGCAGTGCATTTTAGCATGGGTGTGTCTCTTTTTTGGGGGTATGGTTAAAAAGGAAAACTAAAGGGTTAAAAAGGAAAACTAAAGGGTAAGGGAGCCACCTCAAAGCAAGGGGAAAAAGGGGAAACCACAGGGGAGTTTCAGGGAAACAACGAAACCAACTATTTCAGGATTCCCTAATTTAGAGCCAAACCCGCAACCCATCCTACCTGCACATCGTGCTGAGAGAACCCCTGATTCGGGATATCTCGGCCTGTTTGTGGGTGGCTGTGGCTGGCCGTCACCCTCGCTTTGTGTGGAGTGGTTGGCACAAACTCCGGCCGCTCAAGTCCCATCACCCACATAGGGCTAACACGGGTTAACGAAGTGAGGAAGGACGAGCTTGGGTCAAAAAGCTCGTGAGAGATCCTTTCATGGTTTCTTTGTTGAGGCTGAAAGATAGGTTTTGCAATTGGCACACTCCTTAAGGGATTTCCGCCCTCGCCATTTTTCTGCGGGCTGGCCGCCCATTTCTAGGCCGCGCTGCTGCTCAGTCGAACGGCCACATGCCAAGCAGAAGTGGGCGGCGTTTGCATCGACCAACATTCGAGTCTCAGTCGGACAGCATTCATCCTGTGGAAGGTTTGAGCCGGCTATACCGCAGAGGTTTTGCTCGGACCGCGGATGCCACGGAAACGGGGCCGCCCCAGAATCCATAGCTGTCGCTACTAGAGGATAAAGCTGCTCAAGAAGAGCGATGTGAACATTGTTCTGGCATATGCGACGCGGGGTGACTACATCCACTGTGCCACGATCAACCCGGCAAGGTTTGACAAGGGACATGCCGAAACATATGGCTGCCCTGTTGATCCTTTCCCAGGCCCCAAAGGCGGACCGTCGCCTGTAACGGATACGCTGCTGCTTTTTCTCACCGTTGTCCTCCTTTAAAGGGCGTGTTGCTGTATCGGTCTCAGCTGTCGATTCCATGCCCGAGGCCGGGACACGGCGGCGTGCTGCGAGCGAGCGGCCAAGGCTGCCACGGAGGCGCGGGCCTGCGAGCGCCGGAGTGGCGTGGCGGAGACCTGCCTCGGTGGACATCTGTTGTGATGCCAAGGGAATCCTCTTCAAAAAAAACAGTCACAAGGACGGGGAGCCCACTTTGGTGTCACAGAAAGGGTTGCTCACTGCAAACGTGTGCGTGTGCTTGTGCGTGCGCGTGTACAGTTGTCCATAACTTTGGCTTGTTCAATAGGAAGCAATTTGTTTGTTTTGCTGGACCCGCACTCAACACTTGGTACTTGGCCGTTCCCCCGACTTGAGACACCCACTTCTGTGAGTCAACCCCTGACTAACAAAAACCCAGCCTAAAAATTATCGTCAAACAGCGTTTATTGTAAACGCTTCGCGTTGCCCGCCTCGGCCAGTTCGCTTTGGCTGGCTTTGAGGTATATACCGTGCTTTAGTTTGCCTTGAAGTCTTGTGTTTTTTTTTGTTCGAGTGAGGGAGTCGGCGCCAAAATGCGTGCGCCCTCGCTTGGCCCAAGCTCACTGCCATTCTGTAGCTCTCTGCGGCTCTCGTTCTGGCCCTTAAGTTGACCGGTTTTAAGGAGGATTTGGCCGGAGTTGGATCGGCTTTGAGGGGGGGAATTTGACCAGTTTCTGCGGGAAATCGCTTCCCGGCCCTGGAACTTCCAGGCTTGCTTCAGGCGGGGATTTTGTCTGCGCGACATAGGGCTTGGGGAATTTCGGAGGTTTAAAAAATCTGAGACAAACTGAACTTGGACCTCTGACGGCAGGAATGGAATCGAAGGATTGGCGACATGCGAAACATGATCCAGCCATGTGCTTTCTGCACGTTTTCATGAATCCAGACTGCTACACCTGTGACTGGGTTAGGTTTGCAGCATCAAGAATGTGAGCAACAGACAACAGTCTGGTATCATTTCTGACGTGCCGTCTTGGTTGTGGAGAGGGGGGTATCTGTTTCTCATGGCTCTATCTTTTTGTTTGGTTTGGTCGGGCATTCATGTGTAGGTATTGGTCCTGCCGGAATTTTGGCGCTGCATGCTTCAGAACTTCCACATCGATTGGGGGACCTGTGACCACTCACCAAACAGAAGGAGCAACCACTATCATTCAGGAGGGGTTCCTTGGCTTGTTGCGCACCGTCCCCCAAAGGCAGGCGAGAAGCTGGCCTTTATGACGCAGGAGCAGGTTCAGGAGGCCGGGGAAATTCGTGGACTTGGCAACGAAAGTCTTTCTTTTTGGTGGTTTCCACACGGTGTTTTCGGTGGACACCTTTGCACTGTTGAGCGGCCAGATTGTCGCAGTCTGGCCAGATTGTCGCAGTCTGAAGTGTGAATCTTCCAGCACCAAGTGTGATTTGTTTGCTATTGCGAGGGCATGCACAGTGGCTGTGCCATGGACCCTGGGGGGTGTAGGGGTCCATCAGTAAGCCGAGGACAAGCATCGGATGAGCGCTTATTAACGGGTTTACACGCCATGCATCCCGCACAGCACAGGGTTCTCTGGTTTTGCGAGATTTTTCCTGCAATCCAAAGCTGCCTGGCAAAAGTGTTTCCGGGACCATGGGACAGCCTCTGGGTTGGATGAAAGGGTAGCCAAGGGAAAAGGCAGGGCCCAACCGAAACTTGACTTGATCAAAGGTTTCGGAGCTGACTTGATAGGTGCATATGTTTGGGCAACAACCTGGGCGCCTTTCAGTTTTCACGTTTTAATGGTTGAGCATTTGACGCTGAAGCCAAATTTGGCCCTGAGAGGCTCTCGACTTTCTGTCTCCAGGTCCCAAAGCTGGTGTGAACACCTGTGCCCCAGCTGGTGCGCGTCATGTTCAAAGCTCTTTCTTTAGGTTCTCCTTGTAGTCTTCGGGAAGGATGGTGGCAATAGGGCATGGACGGCTGTCCTTTGGCAAGGGTCCAACAGCACATGTTTCTTGAGTCATTGAGCGTCTCAAGTGACGTGTCTGTCTGTCTGTCTGTGTGTGTGTGTGCGCGATGCGTGAGTGTTTGGGGGATTTGGAAGAGGCGCTTTCACCTTGGCGCTGGCAAAGACCGCCGTGAAGGGAGGGCAGAAATCCCAACAAACCTGGGCATTCACGGAATGGTCCGGCGTCTATCCCAGTGGCGCTCTAAATTGAAACGCTAGTAATGCGCAGGAACTTCCACAAGTTCATTGCAGATAGGATACACCGGAAATTGGACATGTCGGGTAGCGAAGCATACAACGTTGAACAGGACTAGAGCTAGGACAATCCAAGAGTTGCCTCCCAAATGCTCATTCTTGGTTGTCTGTTGCTTCGATTTACCTCTGAGAGGACCATTCTCAAGTTCTAGCTAGGATGAACAAACGGAAACTCGCGGTGAGCTCACGTGGGGTCCTGTGATCTCACCAATCGCGACTGCATCCTTCTCATGACCTCCACAAAACGCACATGCTACCCGGCGAAGTCCCGGGTTTTGTATCGCGCAGGCTGCGGAAGCCGCCTCCAACGAGGCCTCCCGGGTCTTCGCCGCTGGGGGCGAGAGCCCCAGCTCCGTCCGTCTGGAGGTGGGGTCGTTTTTTCTTGGCGCAGAAATGGGGGGGGGTGGGTGGGGGTGGGAAATGACAAGGGCAACGGCGAGGGGAGTGAGACGTCCCCGAATTTTCAGACTTCCCCGCAGTCCGGTGTCAAAACCAGGGACCCTCCCAGTTGGACCTACCCAAAGGAGCAGTTTCCCCACTTTCTTTTGGTCTAGCGCTTTCTTCTGACATGTGTGCGAGGGCTTCTCTCAACCCCCCCCCCCCCCCACTCTCAGATCTTGCGCCGTGGAAGGAGTCCAAGGGCCCCTGTCGGATGCCTCTTGGTGTTTGGCTTGTTTGTGCAAAGCAAGGGAACCTGGCAAGGTGAGCTGCTTCAAACCCAGTGGAACTTTGCGTTCTGGTTGAAGGTGAACATCTGAGGTGTTCTTTTGGTAGGAACCTCTGGGATAGACGCAGGCACTTGAGAGTTATCCTAAATCCACCCCAAGTTGCCAAAAGGCCCATGAACCACGCCCCAAACCTCTCAAGCCTTTTTGGAGTGAGGGCAAGAACCAGCTCGCTCGGCGGGGCCACTTGACGCACTGAAATCACGCAACAAAAAGTGTTTGCAGAAACCTGCCGGAGCGCTTGGGGCCTTCTCTTTAGCCAGCCTGTACCCCTTTCTTCATGGAGTTTTTCTCTCGGTGTTGTTGGGAATCCTTTCTCCCTAAAAGCACGATTGTGCTCTGCTCGGCTCAGTGTTTGTGAACTTGTGAAACAACACACCGACCAAGCTGACGAATCTTTGCCCGGTTGTTCAGTGGCACCCGTTGTTTCCCTTTTTGGCGGGTTTTCGCTAGAAATGGACAACCTCAAGAGATCTCTGAGGGTCACTGAGACAACTGGGTTTATCTCAGTTTGGTGCAGCCTGGTCCGCACCTCTGGCAGTGCGCTGAGGTCCCAAACCTGCGCCAGGCAGGGATGCGAAATGAATATGGCCAAAACGGTGGGTAGCCACTTCTGATGATTTTGTATGTGTCTCCTTGTTTATCTTTTGCCATCCCTCATGGCTGACATAGATGCCCCTCCTTGCAACTCGAAGGTTTTTCCGGAGTTTACAGGTTTTGTTTCGAAACAGGGTCGACACTGCCAACAAACAATGCCTCCTCCCTTGGTAACCCACGCACGTGCCCCATGATGAAATGAACACGCAGGCCAGCCCTGAGATCATGAACACAAGCGATCCTACTGTGTGTTGACCCGGAAAGGTTTCAGTCTGGTTGGATTATTAGAAAGCGGGGAACCCTTTGGATTCTGGATACTGCTTCAAGGGAAACCCGCAAGGAAGCCAAGACTCTTCCTGCTTCTCCTCTGTTTTGGGAGTCCACTGCAACCCCGTGCGTCTCTATCAAGGAAGGACTCTGCTGGAGCATAGGAGGGGTTTAAGACCAAATGATTCGCTCGACACCGCTTAAAGTGCCGCACAATTGGCAGGTAGGGAGCAGGGATGCCCCCTGAAATGTGTGTGTGTGTGTGTGTCAGTGTGTGTGTGTGTGTGTGCGCTTTGCGGCGGCTTCACGTGGGAATCAACCGAAACTGCCCCTGCGACAAGCTCTGAGCAAGAGTCCCTCTTTTTTGCGTGCCTAGTGTTCTTCAAGGCAGCTTTGGGTTGTGGGCAATGTCGCCTTGGTGCTGTGTTTTGCAACCATTCATTGTGTTTGGCCCGGAATTGGGTCACTTTCTCGGCCGGAATACGTGCCCAGCCTCCCCAGATGAAGTCGGTCTGATTTGGCTAGCCAGACTTGGATGTCTGACTTTGGCAAAGGCTGGATTTGGCCCAGGCAGAGGCAAGGGTGCAGCGAGCTCAGAGTGCGAATTCGGGTTGGTGACTCGCTGGGTCAGAAACAAGGACCCTTCAAGATTCTAACTGGGTGTTGGTTTCTTTACGTGAAAGCGGGGCCCCTTGCAACCTACCCATTCCCCCCTTGCAACCTGTGTATTTGAAAGATGCTCCTCAGGCCTGCCTCAGGCAAGCACAGAAGATCGACGGTAGTTGTCTTTCTTGAGGAGGGGCCCTGAACTTGAAGGGAGACACATTTAATATCATAAAGTACTGAATTGTTGAGTTGTTGCATTTGTTCAGATGACCTTCGGATACACTTCGCTCCTTGGTTTCGTGGTTTCGCATTGTACAGATGAATGACTGAATGAGGGGCAGTTGACCATATTCTTCCCGAACTTCGCCATACTTTTTTGGAATTGAGTAGAGCACTGCCCGAAGGCTAAAGCCACCGTGCACTACTTTTGGGACCCAATTGCTCCGCACATCTCACACGGATATGTATTTCAACGTCATTTTGTTTGCGCTTGCGTTCATGCATCTGTTTAACCGCGCTTGGCCAGGGCCTGGTCGGCATGTTCGTCGGTACAGCTGTTCAGCATTTCTTCATGAGGTGCGTTTGAGCAAGCTTGCAGGCAAATCAGCAGGCGCGCGCAATCATGTTCCAGTTGGGCAAAGTCATCTTCCAATTTGGAGGTCTCTGGATGCAGTGCCAGCAGCCGCTAGCAGCAGTTCCAGATCGTATGGCAGACGTTCTTCCAGGATACTCCAAGTCGTCCCCTTCACCGAACCTGGTTCATAGTTGGAATTGCTGTGCTCACTTGATCTGTCCGACTGGATCAAGGAGAACAGAACAAGGGGGGATGGCTCCATTTTGAGGACACAAGATAGCCTTCGGTATGAGAGAGCATGGACGGCTTGCAAGCTCCAACCACGCTCCCCAACTGCAAGTCCCGGAGCGGTAGCACACAAAGTCAATTTCAAACTTTTGTTCTATTAGTGGCCTGGTTGTTTTGCGGTTGTCTACAGAGCGTTATTTGCCCGGAGGTTTTCGAAATTCATCCTGGGCCCCGAAGCAGGTGGCCCTTTTTGCGACAGCGGGACCCTTGAATAGAGGCTTCAAGAGCCTCGAATGGAATCAAGCCTCGCTGACGACTGGATTCACGCTTTGGGCTGCACATGTCAGGTTTTCAAGCACCCAGGAGTTTCACGGAGGGCGTCATCTTTCCGCAGGTTTAGCACCTGGCATGAGTTGCCATCTTGAGACGGACACCAAGCTCCAAGCGCCCAAGCGCCATGGCGCCGTGGTGGCTAGCAGCGCTGACGCCGAGTGCCGCTGTGGAGCTGGAGCTGGGCGAGACCCTGCAGCAGGGCAGCCTGGTAGGGGGAGGCGGGGCAGATGCTTGAAACGTTTCGTTGTTTGAAGAGTAAATCTTGATTGCTATTGGGTTGGATCTTTAGACTGTAACTTTTGGGGAAATGTATTGCATTGAACCCACAACAAGTTGAACTTTTAGCAGAGGGGTCAACAGCAACCAAGAAATGTTGTCACCAAATTGGGGGCCTAAGTTTTGGGAGAGATATTACATTAAAAAATGCGAGATATCCTCTAAGCAGACACATCCATGAGGCCGGTTAGAACTGACCCTAGTACGAGTTTGTTGAGGATGGTCCCAATCCCTACCGTTTCAAGGCAGAGTCGCGAGTTGGTCGCGTATGTTCGTTTTGGGAACAGCAAGTACATGAATGTCCATTCCTTGTAATCATCCTGGAAATTAGACTAAATGTAAACGGGTTGAGTGCTGCTTAAGAGTTTGAATTCTGTTCAACTGGAACGTCGTGTCTTACACGCAACCTCGAATCCTCGAAGGCGAATGACTTAGGGTTCCCCCTCTTCAAGCAGAGTTTGGGCAGGAAACTCGGGGCATATCCGCGATTGATCGAGCGCAAAACACGGTCTCTCCTCAGCATCGACTTGCGCATGCAATAGCCGCCGAGAGGCCCGACGGAGGCATCTTGTTTCACAGAGTGGAACAAACCCAGCACTGGCCGACCGACCCTTCCCGATGTGACCCGACCCGACTCGACCAGACAAAAAACAATTCTTAAAACACTAACAAGCAACCCTCCAATCCAGCAACCAAGCCGCTCACCAACCAACTAGGCAGGCATGCAGAGACACAAACAGCTAGATAAGCAGACAGACAAGCCAGCGAAGAACAAAAGCATGGAAAGGATTCCGGCCATGCCAACCTTCCCGGGTGATCAGTTTCTGGTTTCTGTGGGCGCGCAGGCATCGAGGATGTCAACCACGAGCTCTACGGCGGCCTCTACTCGCAGATGATCTACGGGGAGTCCTTTGAGGCCGGGAACAGGGTTTGCCCTCGAAGGGGAGCCCCCCAAAACACCAAAATCGGCGGTTTCTGTGGCGTCCCTTCCAACACCCAGAGGGTACCAAAGAAAAAGAACACCTGCAAATGAGGGGTGATTCAAAATGAGAAGCTCCTTTTAGACAAAGGAAACCAGGCACCTGTCAGAGCAACTGATTTACTTGGGCCGAAAGTTTATGTTTTCTGAGGGTAGCTGTCGGGGACCAAGGAGAGAAGAGCAGAATCAGGGAGGTTGTCGGAAAGTGGTGGACTGTCTTCAGGCCCCTGTCAACTAAGTCAGAGCTGACACGAACATACCTGTCATTCTCAATCATAGAAAGCACTGTCATTGTCTAATGTTCGATTTCGCGATTGTCGCTTCATGCACTATGATTTTGATGGATGCATATTGAAATTCCAGTGCGCAATGTCGAGGTTGCGTTTGCCAGTCAACTACACGAACAACTTGATTTTGAAATATTCAAAGAGTTCCAGAATCTGCAACCCAGGGCCCTGGGCTTTGCGTCCCATTGTTTCTTTCTAGGAAATTCGGGGGCCGTCAAAGGGCATGAGCCTGGCTTGTCCCATTTCCCGGCCCCAAGGGCCATGACTTTGTTCTTTGGAGAAATCCAATGGATACTGGGGCTCCAAGGCGGTGAACTGTCCAAGCGGGTCCCAAACACAGATGGTCAAGTGGACCCACGCGGCGCCCAAATGAAGGTTTTATGAGCCACTCTGGATTTCAAGAGGCTATGCTTTGGGGCTGCCAGGACTCCTTTTGTTTGATCATTTGTTGATCCCAACGGGTGCAGGATTTTGTTCATCAGTAGGGAACATGACTTCTGGATCGGTTGCCCAATGGACTCGGCGGATTGTATGGGCCATCGACTCATGGCCATTTTGGGACCCTTGGGTGGCGGCTTCCGCGTCTGGTAAAAGGGAGAACCTACTGCGGGATGAGTTCTTTGGCTCAGGTTTGGCAGGTTCAACCTATGTTGGGGAGGGGGGGGCGCGATCCATCTCAAAACAGCCCGCGGCTGCTAGGGCCGGCCGCGGGACACTTCGTTTGTTTTTTGGGGCTGGGGATGTTCCATGCTGCTTCTTCCGAACCCGACCCAAGATGCAAGTTGCTTGTCATGGTTGATCAAAGGGGATCCGCGGGTCCGATCGCTTGCACCGAGGGACAGGCAGGCTTTTTGGTGTCCAAAAGGAGCCCGACCAACGAGCCCGAGGCAGGCAGGCAGCCAGCCACCAACCTTGCTGCCCAGGAGCCAGCTGGCTCGAGCGGCCTGAGCGGTCAGAGCCTGGTGGAGATCCCGGCGGAGCCGCCTGGCGTGTGGATTCCTTGTGAGCCAAAAGCGGTTGGGACCCGAGGAGTGGCTTTTGCTATCCTTCTGCTGTTGTTCACGAGCGTAATTAATTCCACAGGAGATGTTGTTGACATAGTTGGTCACACCCTCTGTTTCACCTCGGCTTTGTTCTTCTTTGCTTCCTCCTTTGGACACCTGTTTGGAGGGAGAAAATGCTGGATTTACCAAGGGTTACCTAGCCTGTGCAAGCCCCAAAAGCGGGGGCAGGCCCTAACGTCAGGACACACCAGTCGTGTGAATTTAAATGTAACTTAAACTGCAACAAATGAAGGAGCCACAGTGCCAAACGTCCAGAGAGCCTATGACAATAAGCCAAACAAGCATGGCTTTGGCAAGTGTCCCGCAGTTTTGCCTACAGCTGATTTCTTGTTGGAGGGGGTCTGAAATAATCCTCACCCATCGTG